AAGATGAGTAGCCTCATAGAGGTGATTGAATGAAGATATTTATTCACCTAGATAGAAAATCATGGATTACACAGTAATCTCTGATTTTTCCTGCATGTGAGCAACTAAATGTTAAAATACTACTAATTTTTATTTGGATCCTGAATATCTCATTTTGTGACAAACTTAGGACAAGAGGGTTCAGCCTATCTGGTCAATGAGAGGCAGTTTTATTTCCAAAACCATATATTTATAATTCCATATAGAGATGCAGCTGTCATGATGGCCATTTTGATAAATCTTAAGCAACATGAGATAAAAGACCACCTTTGGAGTCATTAAGAAATATCATTTCATTTAGCTTATCAATAGAGTTAAATCTAGGCAATTACTTTATTTTCTTATTTGCTAGAGGGTATGTGCACTTGCTAGAGAGGAAAAGAGGGAGAAAGAAAGAAAGTGAGAAATTATTCCCCCATGAAGGATGGTCACACCACAATCCCTTTTCCTCCATTTCTCCTTTTGGGACTTTGGACACACACGTACACATGTTTCTCAAACTACTGGGTCCAGGACTTGAACTGTGTAGTCAGTTGTGTGGCAACTAGCCACCTTAACTACCACACCATGAGCTGGCCCTATTTTCTAATTATTTAAATTGATGAACACTTATGGTATATATCATGATTAGTAAAATAGAACTTAAAATTCAACTAGAGCGGAATAGTGTCTTACTTCTTCAGGGAATCTGGGGAAGCAGTAACATGTGCAGATTAACGGTTTAAATTCCAATTTTACCATTTAGTAGCTGAGCAAGGAAATACAAAAAAATATTCGAGCAAATTACTCTGCCATTTTGTGTCTCCATTTCCTTTTTTTCTTTCTTTTCTTTTCTTTTTTTTTTTTTTCACGGTTTTTGTTTCTTTATTTAGGCCATAGGCCCTGAGGGAGTCCAGCACCTTAACCACTATGCCACCTACTAGCCCCATGCCTCCATTTCCTTGTAAGTAAATTTGAGAAGGGACCAGCAGTTACCGTAATGGCTATGTTGCTGAACTCCCATGTAGTCGACCACGGTTCAAGTCCCGGACCCAGTAGCTTAAACTCAGGCCAGGCATGTGTGCATACATGCCCAAGATCCCGAGAGGAGAATGGAGGAGAAGGGATTGCGGTGTGGCCATCCTTCACCCCAGGGGGTGATTTCTTGCTTTCTGTCTCTCCGTCTCTCTCTTTCTGACGAGCGTATGTGCCCTATAGCAAAAAAAAAAAAAAAAAAAACTCCCAAAAAAACTCTCAAAAAAAAAAAGTAAATTAGAGAAAATAATGACACCTATTCATGGATAAAATGAGTTAAAAATGTAAAAAGTCCTTTGAATAGTACCTAATACTTAATAATCCATCAATGTTCATTTGTTATTACTATTGTTCTCATAGCATTTTCCAGTTTGCCTGGCACTTCTACTTACACTTTCTCATTCAAGTCTTGATATAAACTGTGAGCTAAGTAAAGTGAATGTTATAAATAAGGAAACTGAAGATTTAAAAAGTCATTTGCTCATGATCTCTAACCTAGTGTGGACAGAAGTCTGACTGCTTTTTCCTATTTTTCCAAAATCTTTTCCAGAGGGTTTAGAGGGAGTCATGCTCATCAATGTTAACCGACCATTTTGACCCTTTGGTAACAGGATTCTTCCTACATCCTAACCCTGGCATAATATTGGGGTATCTTTGTGATGTCTATTAAGCCTCTTTGTCACTGTTTAAGTGCAGTCCTTTCTGATCACAGCAACCTTCCTTTTCCAATCACCACCCTAAAACTGTAAAACCCACCTATAACCTGCAAGCCACCTCCTCAACCCCACTTCCACATGTCTCACCTTTTTGAGTCAGACCAGTGGAAAAACTTTTCACTAAATTCCAAACTCTGTCTCTCAAGATCAAATAAAAGGAACTCCTGTACCTGATCACCCCAATACAAAGGCATGGTTTGCCTTCTCTCTGGTCTAGTTCACGCATTCTGTCTAGAAATAAACTGCATTAACTAAAAGACTGGAGGACAGGGACCAGCAGTTAGCATAATGGCTATATCGCTGGACTCCCACGTAGTCGACCGCAGTTCGCGTCCCGAACCCGGTGGCTTAAAACTCGCGCCAGGCACGTGTGCATGCGTGCCCAAGATCCTGAGAGGAGAATGGAGGAGAAGGGATTGCAGCGTGTCCATCCCCCCTGGGGGGTGATTTCTCTCTTTCTGTCTCTATGTCTCTCTCTGTCTGGCGAGCGCACGCGCCCTATAGCAAAAACCTCTCCAGAAAAAGACTGGAGGACATAGAAAACATTGCAAAGTGTTATGGACATGAGAGACAAAGCAGAAGGAGAGTGTGGGAGGGGAAGAGAGTAGGAAAGAAAATTTGGGGGAAAAAATAGAGGTAAGTCATTTGTGGGACAAAGACATGGTTTATTATCTGCTGATGAGGATGTGTATAGTATTCTCATCTGGGCTGGACTGAGGTATAGATCATGATGGGCAAAATCTCTTTACAATCTAAATGATATATAGATATTGAATGTATAAATAATAATAATAATAATGAATAAAATCACACCGTACTCCATAAATATGTACAATTATGTTGTGCCAGTTAAAAAATAATTTTTTAAATGATAAAAAAAGAAATAAACTGCATTAATTATTATTTTTACAGAGTTGGTTATTTTCCATCAACACTAGTACATGTTGCTAGTAGACTTTGATCTCTCATCTTGAGTGATCATCCATCCCTCTTGCCACACCATGGTCTTTACAGATTGTAATCCCTCTTGCCACACCATGGTCTTTCTCTATCATGCTGGACAAATGGGTGCTGTGGCAATATTTCTGGGACAGTTTTTCTTAATAGCCATATATCCTTAGGGTTCTAGATTAAGGTCAAGAAGCTGAGAGCATTCTGGCTTTTGGGCTTTAGGGTCATTTTACTGTCATCAAGTCCCAGGGGTTTTCAAAACCCAAATTTAAGGAATCCCGTGTGACAAAGGCTTGTGTGAATCATCATCTTTTCACAATAGTTACATCTTTTATGATAAATACCCTTCAAGTTCAGTGCCTTCCCAACTCACATTAAGAAGTAAAAAAAATGTTAGCAGAAGAGATGAGAGATTGAACTTGGAAATTAAATCTTTGTAACAAATTCTGGGATCTGTTCCAAAATCTCATCAAGGAATCTTGACTTCTTCAGTGGGTTCTTGGTACCTCATGACATAAAAAGTCCTCCCACTGCTACTGGGGAAATTTCCACAAAAATGCAAATAGTTCTGATGTTCTAGCAACAAGGATCTTGCTTAGAGCCATACTTGCCCTCTCCCAAATTGATCAAATTGCTTGAAGGTGAATGACTTTACCCCATGGACTGTAAAGCAAGGAGCTCTCTTAACCCCACAATGGCCTCGTCTATAGGTCAAGAAATTCAAACTGTAGAACAGCTAAATAAGCAGTATCCAAACAGACAACTCGAAAGAGAAACACAAGTCACAAACAGTTTGAAATATACACCTCTATTTCCTAGAACATAGCACTATTGATGTTCTTTCATCCTGAATCCTGCAATTATTCACATGGATTTTAACAATGGAATAGCTAGTAAAATTCAAGCTTGGATGTAGTTATCTGACCAAATAGTATATTAACCAAATTAGGAATTTTAACTTGTAAGAATAGCTTTTAGTTATCTATTCTTCAATACTACTTAAGAAAGTATGTATTTATGAGTTATCTGAGGCATTTTGACAGGGAGGCAAAATGGTAGTCCATTCTTTCTCCTTTGGTCCCAGGAGGTGGGATGAAAATCCTATGATTTAATCATCCTGAAGCCATGTGGCTCCTGTGAGATAGGGCCAGATGTAACCAGAGGATTTATAGGGTGTAAAATTCAGAATGGATTAGAAAAGCCTTTCTGTGTTCAGCCCAGCACATCCTAAATCAACATCCCCTGAATGGACCAGAGCAATCTCTGGCTGGCCTGGTGGGGAGGTTGTCATGGCAACTGACTGGCAAGCTCAGCCAGTGGAATGTGAATGCAAACAATAGAGTGATGAGATTGTGTACAGAGCAGCATAGTAAGGCTGCTTCTGCCCAGGTATATTGACACACCCACGGATGATGAAAGTGTGAAACTGTCCCTGTATTTGTACTTTCTTGAAATTCCAGCAGTTCATTTGAAATTTATCAAGTGTCTTTTCCCAGATGGTGGTAAAAATTTTACTGCAAATAGATTACAGAAGCTTTAGAAAAATCAGCACCCGGTAGATAGGTGTAGAGATATACAGAGCGCCGCGGGTTGTTAGACTAACACCACTCAAAAATTTCCTCATTTCCCTGCAGTTGAAGCAGACATAACATAAATCCAATGACTCTTTAGTGCCACCTTGTGTCCTTTTAGACAATGAAAATTTAGTGGAAGCCCACTGTCAGACTCATCCCTGGGCAAAGGTAGGACCAACAAGGCAAATGTTAGAGCTTAGTAATCCCCTGTATGGTAAAATACATACACAAATATTCTAAGAATCAAGTTGATAATGGAAATTAAAACAAATAATCGTGGTAGAATCTGGGAGTGGAAAAGAATAGAATGCCAAGATAAAATTGCAGGAGGCTGTGCATGGTGAGCTAGGAGATGGCAAAGACCACTACCTTATGGAGTCTTGGTGTCACCATTGCTAATTCTTGCAAAGGAATGATTTTTTGAAATCTATGCAGCCATGCTGGTAGCATAAATGAATCAACAGAGGAAAATAAAACATAAAGATCACCTATGCCACTTTATAACTCTTGCTCAAAGTTAATGGGTAGCAAGACGGCAACGTTTGCTTCAATGGCACTTCATGGCCATCTCTTATCTCGCACGAAAGCCAAACCCATCGTGCACTGCTGCCCCACTACCTTCCTGTCACAGTTCAAAAACATAATCAAGTTCCATTTTATTTCAGAAACATGAAATGACCACACTGTGTCTTTGTGTTTCTTCCAGGGTTTGAATTTTTTGAAACAAGTGCCAAGGACAACATTAATGTCAAGCAGACATTTGAACGCCTTGTGGATATCATCTGTGACAAAATGTCAGAGAGTTTGGAGACAGATCCGGCCATCACTGCCGCAAAGCAGAATACAAGACTCAAGGAAACCCCTCCTCCACCACAGCCCAACTGTGGCTGTTAATGTCCCCACGCACACAGGCAGCTCCAGGGGGCTACGGTTGCCAACAAACAGCATTCATAAATGGTCTATAAGCCTTCATTTATACTGCCTAATAATTATCTGAAGGAAGCCTTTGATGTCAATGGCTCATATATGCATTCAGTTCTTGGGAGATTTCCTGTGTTAATATGTGGCAAATATGTGATCTTAAATTTGCAAGGACTATCTATCTATAAACCTCTGGTACTTGCATGTGACTGGTTATTTATTTGTCTTCTAGGCTCTGTTTGTTTTAAATTTCTTCTCAGTTAAGCTACTGCTAAGACCTCAGACTATAATTTCACTACAACTGTCTCTTGTGCCACGGATTCAAATTATGCTATTCACTTGTAGGAATAATGATCAAGGAATAGTTTGTGTGTGTGGGTGTGTGCGTGTGTGTGTGAACAGGAGGAGTTATCACGAGACTTCATTGCTTTATCCTTAACTGAAAACCAAGTGGAGATTTTGCTCATGATTAGAGAAGCTCATGGGTCTGGTCAGTTCACAGGAAATGTGTCTGTTTTTCACTGTCATTAATAACCAAGGAGACAATTGACTCTATGAAGAAACTGAAATATTATTTTTAAAGCCCTTAAAAGTTTCCCAAGCCATTAATATTAACTTGACTGTAAGTAGATTTAAATAGTGATCTTAATTTAAATAAGCAAATACCCAACCCCAAGATTATTCTTTCCATTAATTATACTCAATTCTAAATAGTTAAGAACATTGAACAGATCAAGAGATACCTATTGAAAGGCAGTTATACAACAAGCATCTTAACCTAGAAGGATATGCGTAGCTATAGAAGTCCAAGGCCTGAGCTCCCCCGTTTCCTTAGTGACTTGCTCCACGTAACACACACACTACCATCACTTTCCAGAACTATCACCATCTAATTCTTGCAAAGGAATGATTTTTTGAAATCTATGCAGCATGCTGGTAGCATAAATGAATCAACAGAGAAAAATAAAACATAAAGATCATTATGTCAAGGCTTTTTTGGGCTCCTCTTCTCATAGACTATATTATCTCCATCAATACCTTCTGCTCAAATCTTAGCTAAGTTATTTTACCTAATCAGAAACAATTTAAACAAACTAACAATGGGTCCCAAGTTGAGGGAAAAAACACTCATCTCTAATCTTTTTCAAATCCAGGTGTTCTTAGCTCTAAAGCATATCCCCACTATGTAAGTCTCTAAATATGGTTAGTTTCTAAACACTCTACAAGGGAATCCTTGGATTAGTAAACACAAAAGAATGTTAATGTTGTGTTAGATGTCACTAGAAAACACTCTCTGTAACTTCAACTTACAGATCCATAGCAATTTGAGAGAGAGAGAGAGAGGAGGGAGAGAGAGAAAATGCTATTAGGACAGCCAGAATTATTATCGTAGATTTCCTAAAAAACATATATGAATAAAAACAAGCAACAAATCCTACCAGCTGTGCTGAGCTTTGGAGGAAACTAGACATGTGTGTCACTGTCCAGCTAGGACTTTTTTTTTTTGGTGCGGAGGGACAGATTTTTGCTATAGGGTGTGTGCATTCGCCAGAGAGACAGAGAAAGACAGAGAAAGTGAGAAACCACCCTCCAGGGGGGGATGACCCCTCTGTAATCCCTTCTCCTCCACTCTCTTTTCAAGATTTTGGGCACGCACACATACACCCAGCATGTTTCAAGTCACTGGGTCCGGGACTTGAACTGTGGTCAACTAAGTGGGAGTCTAGCACCTTAACCACTATACCAACTACTGGCCTTCATACCGCTAGGATTTTAAGATGGCAGAAGATAGCATTTGGCATATTTCAAAGCATAGCTTTATTAGATGGAATTTCTCCCTTTTTGTTGTGATTGTTATGTTAAAGAATTTTTTTTTTTCCCTCTTAACATAGAGATGCATCCTGTGAAAGTGTTGGGTTTAAGTTTACTGGGCCCATGTTCTGGTAGGAAAACCTCCATCCATTTGAAGATATTTCTGGAGAATAAAAGCCTTCCAGTCAGGGAACTAGGTCACACACATTACTAAGGAACGTAACAGATGAAAATTGCAGGAGAAAGCATGTGGGATGTTTCAGGCATATTCAGGTCATTTCTCACCTTCTTAGTTTAAGAGCCACTAATTGGTAGTAAATTTCCGCTTTGGCACCCTGCAAGGGAAGCCTTAGCTTAGTGAAGACAAAAGAATTATTAATGTTGTGTTAGATGTTAATGAAGCAACCAGCTTCAAAATCACAGAAATTAAAGCAGAGGGAAAGAAAGAAGCAGGAAACATAAACTCAGAGGTGTCTGCAGCAGTTGCCTTTTGGCATCACATTATCGAATTTCTATAACCTGGGCCGGAATATGGTCAGAATTGATAGAACTATCAAGCTCACCTTTATAATCTAATATAAAGCAGTGTGTAAAACCAGGAAACCTTTTCTTCCTCCTTCATAGCTCCCGCCCCACACTTAGTAGGGACTTCAAAAAGTTCTTAGGAAAATGGAATTAAAATACAAATTTATTTGGGTGCAAAAAAATTTTTTTTAATTCATGTACAGCATGTTTTATAATATACACTAGGCCATGAAATTTTAAAGACCACATTATACGTGGAGATAATAAAAGGCCTAGATAGGGTATTTCAGATGAGCTTTTCAGGAGGACATTGACATATATTGTTGTAAAGTGAAAATCAGAATGAGATTAGAGAAACAAAAAGAACTGAGTTTTGATGTCTTAAAAGCCCCTTCCCTGAAGAACTTTAATTCCTATGAAAATTCATAACCCTTCAACCAGAAGATCTAAGCCAGTGCCACTGACACAGTGTCAAGTATCCCAAAATCGAACTAGTTTATGCCAGTGGAAGAAAATGACGTACCAACAGCAAAGTACTCTTGTCAAGGAACATTTGGTGCTTTCTATTTTTTAACCCCCAGTGGAAGTGGAGCCTTCCTGATGGATTTTCAGTTCTGAAACTCCCACCTGGCTGTGAATTCCCTTCTGAATAATTCAGTGAGGAGTTTCCAGAGAGGGTGGCCTGGGAGTTCAAGAGAAAGAACACCTACATTCCTGCCATAAAGCACATGAGAAGAAAGAATATTCTCTATTTCTTATCTCATCAAGAGATCCTGCTTTTAAAATAAAATTTGCCAAATATAGAAACCAGTCCAGAGTTAACTAAGTGAACTGCTTTTGGCATTGAACTGTATTTCTTATCGTCCCAAGGTTTTTCAAGCTTTGGACAACAGTGTGCACACACACACACACACACACACATTATACCTCCGCCTGCCATCAGACTAAATACCTACATTTCATTTTTACCAATGAACTAATTACATTTGTATTTAAAAGATCAAGACTTTTAAAAGTGTACACCTGTGTTAGTATCTAAATTTTAGATATCATTTCTAAATGTATTTAATCTTTACAGAAATGCTTGACACTTCAGTCAGATAATATTCCCCTTTGGTGGGTTGCAATATTTACTGATTTCTTGGTTTCGATGCAATTAAATTAGTATTCTAGTATAAATCTCTCTGCCTTTGCTACTCATCACCTTCTTTGGCACCCACCTCTCTAAAAGCTTTTAGGAATAAACCTTGAATGTTTGAAGCAGATGTTCCCAGAGCTTTGGTGTGGAATCGTGCTTTCCTTTCCTAATGCAATTGAAAAACCGGACTGAAGGTGCGTGAAGTGTCCTAAATCCTAAAATGAAGTTTAAACCTTAGCATCACACACACATACTCTTGAGAAAAATTAGTTTAGGACAATGAATCAGTTCATCTCTCTGTCCCGCTGAGCAGCTCCTACTGCCTTGGCATATAATGACTGTGAGAACCAGGAGGTTCTTAAAGGTCTTCCTTAGGGTCACTTGAAGTGCAGTATACCTTTGCTACCTGGTAAATAAGTGCTTTGATTTTTATTTGGAAAGGGAACTATAATGATGCCTTCAGTTGTAGCAGAAAGCTGCAGCATTGTTATGATTAATGTGAAATATCATTTCCATGTAATTACTACCTGATTACAGAAGACATCAATATACTCAATAAACAAATACACTTTTTACCCACTTAACTCTTATCTAAATTAATTGTAGACCTTTAACTAACACATTAGTTATCTTTTAGGAGCCAATGTAAACTTTCCATTTTAACTACAGTTATGCTAACACTAGCCTTTCAGGTATAGAGTATGTGTCTTTAAAAAAAAAACCATAAAATACATTCCCTTATTAACTGAACTTCTATGAAGCAACATTCATTTGAGAGCGTAGCAGTCGATAATCAGCGGTTCATGGCGACATGCTCTATCCAACATATATCCTAGTGCATGGTTGAGGATATCCCACCATCTTTTAGTTAACAGTGTAGCATTTGAGGAACTGGATTAGACATGTATCCAACCTCTACCAAGTTGTATTCCAAACTGATCTAGCAGCTGCATGTGAAAAACTGTGGTACAAATCTGACTTTAAAGTCTTAACAAAAACCCTTCTATGTCAAAAAGTTGCTCTGTATTAATACTCTTCACAGTAATGTTCAATAGGAGATTTTTGCTCAGTCGTGTATTTTTGGTGCGACATACTTGAGAGTCGGTCTTTCCATCTGAAGAAACTTTCTTGTTCAAATTACAGTGTACATGACTGGAACCTGGAACTCTGCCCCCTTGTGGGTATCCGCACTCAGCGTGCTCTGTCAGAGTGCCACACAGACCTATTGGACCTTTCTACTCACTCCTTGTAAAATGCAGGCTTTATATTGTGCTCAGCTCTTCCCGTTTGCATATACTACCTGTGATTTTGCAGTTCACTCATAGAATAGTGAAGTCTTTCTGATGTGCTAAACCTTTCAGTCTTAGAGTCTGCTCTTTTGGGTTCTCTGTATTTTAGATTATTTTTTTGGCCAAAGTCAGTTAAAGACATAAATTTGTTTTATATCATGGAATTAACGTAGATAAAGTTTATGACCAGAAATAAAGAAGGCCTTTACCCTTACACTGCACTTAAGGAGCTTTAGGTCTAGAAACACTGAATCTCCTAAGGGGGCAAGAACAGGTTGGCAGATTTATCTAAAACTATGTATCTATCGTTATTGGTATTTCATAAATAAATGTATTTATTTTAATCTTTACAGAAATGCTTGACACGTCAGTCAGATAATATTCCCCTTTGGTGGGTTGCAATATTTACCCCAAGGCAACACACAGTGTCATAGTGTTCTTCTTCCTAACATACATTCATGAGTATTGATACCTTTTTCTAATGAAGGGAAAATTCCATCTACGGTGCTTTCTTAGTGCTTTGGAAAAGAATGTTTTTCTGTTCCAACTGTAACTCACATCTTGTTTGAAAAGGTCCAAGCAACTAGTTCTTTGCAGTGATTTGATTTGATTAGTCTGTGTCTGTGCACTAATTAAGTCTCATTAAACAAAGATGATGAAGAAAAATACATTTTGCAAATATTCTAGATAACAGAACAAAGTATTTGGAAATCTCACAGCTTGAGTATTAAGATCAGACCATCTAGCTAGTGGGATTTTTATCATTTCAGTTTTTTTAAAGTACTGTCTTCACTGAATGACGAGATCAAGGATAGAAAATGAGATTCAAGGTTCACCATTTATCTCCCATCAGCAACTATTATTGGTGGTTTCCATTAGTTATTACTTGCTGAAATGAGGTTGGGGGTTACATGTTTATTTCATTCATCTATGTTCATGCTATCTTCATCATGGACAACTGAGAGTTGGCTGTGGCTTAATTTATTATGGAAATACTTTGTATTCTTGTTGTTTGGGCCTAGGTATTGCTTAGGTTGGTAAATGCTATTCTTGTGGACACAGATGGTACTTGAACCACAGACAACTAACTTTTCAGGGATGTGAGCATGACCTACACCTGTCTAGTAGTTCCATACTTCTTGTAAAAGTCAAGTCTGGGTATATTGTTGGCTGTTTCAGTATGAGGATTTTCCATACATTGTCTCATCATCCCTAGGATGTGTGCTGAATGAAAACTGTCCTGTAATTTCTGTGAATATATTGTTAACGTCAGATGTGATGTGATCCCGTTGGACTGTCCAAATGTACAACTATTTAATGGTGTCTGTAGAACTGAAATGTCTTAAATGTTGCATGAAATATGTTATAAAAATAGATTTGTTTTCTATTTTCAACACCTCAGAATTGAGGGTTCATGGGCCAATAAGTGCAATATTTAATGACTTACTCAGTGTATATAAACTAGTGTGGAAGAGTGAATTATAATGAATGTTTGAGATGCTTTGATGGCTGTTTGACGTATTCAAATGATTTTCTTGTAGCTGTATTTGTTTAGTGGTGCAATTTATACAGTAAATATCTTTTTGGTGTCATGTGAAACTCCTCTGTGCCTACTTCAAAGTACATTTTTTCTTCTAAGACCAAATGTTTAGTATCTGAAAATATGTCAATTTTACCTTTTAGTATCGTGGATTTTATTTTCAAGACAGAATGACATTATTTTATTTTATAAAGTCATTCCCTTCTATAATTTGAAAATTTTCTTAAGTTTTATAAGAGTGTACATTTT